AATTGCCGACTGAGGAACACGGCCGCCAATTCGGCCGAGGACATTGCGGCTAAGCAATCGTGACTGTTTTTGCAAGTATGAGGCAGTAGGCGAAAATTAGAGACACAGTTGTGTTCCTTGTCGGATACGGATCCAACTGTTGACTAAGGAAAACGGCCGCTGGTCCGGCCGAGGACGTTCTTCCTCAACAGTCGTCACTGCCTTCGCAATATGCAATCCGTATGCTAAGATTAGAGACACAGTTGTGTTTCATGCCGGATGTAGATCCAGTTGATGACTAAGGAACTGTTTCGTGGGAATGACGCAAGAGGGGGGTCGCGCCCAGAGTTGCTTCTTTACGGCATTGGCTGCCGTTTGTCTGATGTGTTCAGATCTTGTCATTCTTTGGCTGAGGGACGAACATCGGATGCTGTCAGAAGCAGGCCGAACATGATAATGGAGCGGGGGAGGTCTTACGTCCTTGTTACTCTCGCCGATAAGTAAGTTTTCAAGCTGATTATATGTTTGCTTCATATGTCGACGAGGTGCGCCGCCGTCTCGCGGACACTGGGAGCCCTATGTCAATATACGAGGGAACGCGTGCGTGGGATCTCTTGGCATACAGCATCTGGAAGCGTAACCAGCCAAGCAGTGCCCATCTTCCCGCGGCGAAGGCACCATGAACATGTGCATCATGTGTAATCTGGAAGTAGAAAGTCAAAGCGCTCCCAGCAAATGTTGTATGGCAGGGAGATTCACCCCCGAAGTCGTTGACAAGAAATGTGTGGGCACGGCGCTGTCAGCGAGCCAAGCACCGATCGAGAACCTTAGCTAAAAAAAGAAAGCATAGAATCCTGAGTTTATCACTGAAACTACAGGTATGGTCATGATGAAGAAGTCGCACCGATACGATGCGCCGTCGACTTGCCTCTCGGCAGAAGCTCTCCTCGGTTGTCCACAAAGACAAGAAGATAAACGGAACACTCATGTCATGCGAGTTGACGAGGTGTGGAAAGGAAGTTGCAAGACGTTTGCCTGATCGATACGCTCCGTGCGCACGGCTACAAGGTTGATTACACAAGCGACGGCCCCTTCTGGGCGATGCAAGATGGCAACACGTTCCTCGAGCCGTTCGGGTCACTCGACAAACAGATATTGTTTAGCTCATTCACGTGACATGGCATGGCATTTATAATCGTGAATGGTTCATGCAAACGCGTTGCAAGGAAGAACGTCGCTCGGACGACATGGAACCATATCGCGACGGCAGCCAATGGCGAGTACGTTTTGACTATTGGAGCGCACTTCATTGCCTTGAGAAAGCTAGAAGGGGTGTTGCAGATCAATCAGACCAACAAGCGGCATGCATGGGAAACAGCATGCACGTACCGTACGCAGTCCCCACTTCTCTACTACGAGGAGATGGCTGTCTGGCTTATTGATCCGACTCAATGCACCGGAGTCTTCGTCATTCAGAACAGTCCTGGTGGCGGATCGGACCTAGCCGGTGGGAGCTTGCAGAGCCTCCCAGCACATCTCTCGAAAGAGGTCGTCCACAGACTAGGAGATCTTCGCTCGGCCGTGCAGTTGGAACGGGTCTGCCGCGAAACTCGTGAACTTGTGACATCTCCAGATGTGTGGATCGATAGGCATGCCGGCATCCTGCCTGCAGCGGCCGTGGACGTGAACTGGCTGAGGGATGGGAAGTCACTGCTGGCCACCGCAATAAGTGGTTCTCGCATCCTGGCTGTGGACTGGCCTGTGCAAGCAACTGAGAAGATTGTCTGCTGTTCAGTCGTCCGGAAGTGGAGCACGCGGCAGCCCACGCTCTCACCAGTCTACTTCCGCTTAGATAACACTGACCAGCCACAGCGTGTCGTGGTATCGATCGGAGGCTGCCCTTCTGCCGGTGATCGCTGTTGGTGTGACATCATCACACCCTTCGCTGACACTGTGGTGACTGAACTCGGGCACACTCGCCTTGGACGTCCGAGCGATAGATTCAGTACTAATATCCCAGAGTGCATGGCCGACCGCCTTCTGCAGATACAATGGTACAATCACAGGCTGGAAGTTTTCCTTGATGGACACCGTCTTGGAGTGCTGTCACTGCAGGATTGTGATGTGCAGCAGTGGGCCCAGGTGGCTGTGTCCGTCTTCGGTGAAAAGGATTCAGCATCTTATCATCACAACATGAGCAGCAGTTGCTTTCTGCCGACGGAGCTCTGCACAAAATTCTTTCTGTCAGCGCTGGACTTGCGTGGAGGAACGTTGAACTTGCTGAGTGTGACTTCTTTGCAGGTTTCATTCCTCGGGAGTCTGCAAGACTTTCTGTGTCTCACGAGCTGCAGCAAGGAATTCAGAGAGCATGTTCGACAAGGCGACTTCTGGTCTGGCGTGGATCTGGAGTTGAAAGGCCGGCTCCTTGTCAGTTTCCGCCAATCTGCCTTCTTTGGGAATCTTCTGCAAGCGTGGGAACAGGGCATCCGGACAGTGTCATGCTCGCATTCCCTGCTTCATGCTGTGTCGTCACTCGGGGAGAAAGTCTGGCTGCAAGGAAACGGAGAACATATGCCATGCATGCTCGGTCCACAGGGAAGTCCGCCGACCTCCACGCGCGTTATGTACTGGAAGACGGAGCAACAAACTTGCCATCAAACTTCCATGCGTGTGCGGCTTCCTTCGGATACGAACTTTCTGGTCCTGGCCTTGCGACGTGCAGATTATCGCAATACCCCGGAAAGCAGCACATGCATGATCTTCCGGAAACCCTTTACTCCAGATGGGCAGCTGCAAGTCCGACTGTCCAATGGTGAGCGGGTAACCATCCCTATGCCGCTGCATCTCAGAGAGGGCAGGAACTCATCACACATCTTTGCATTCCACTGGGACAGCGACTTCCTGGAGCTCAGTGTAGACGACAAGAGTATCGCGACCATCCCCCTGACTGCGGAGCAAAGTATCGAGCCGTGGGTGAGGAGTGCGGCATTGTGCCTGGCATCCTCCACAGACTTTGTGGAAAGCTTTCAAGTCGAAGCTCTACCATTCAAGTACATGACGTCATTCGGATATCCGACCTGTGCTTACTGTTCCCGTGAAAGCCTGGGCTGCTGCAGTGGGTGCGAGCATTGGTTCTGCCAGCACCACGGAGTCATGGGCACGGATGTTTGTCTGGCATGCGTTCCTGAATACTATCTGGAAGACCGTCTCGGCGGCAGTTCGGTTCAGGTGACTCCAAGTATCCGTCTGCAGATAGAGAAACGTCGTTTACAGGCACTGCGCAAGCAATACCTACGTTTCCAAGGGGATCAAGTTGGATTCGAGCAACTTTGCCATCGCATGGTCACTGTCGAAGACGTGCTCTCAGTCAACTTCTCGAACGTGCAATCGCCCATGGAAGAGTTGAGGGATGCACCAGATGTCCATTTGATGCAGCGAATCCACCAGGCACGTGGCCAGCTGGAGGAAAGTGTGTTCTTTTCCGTGGCAGGAGAGATGGACCGACCAAGCGGCACTTGTTCGTTGTTTGACTTCGAACTCGACGCGTTCTTACCGCGAAGTGTGAGGCAATGGACAGGCCCCCGCTCTACCTGTGTATCCAGTCCATCCTCTTTCAATGTAGAGCGTCTTGAAGGACTTTCAGTTCTGGACGTTCTATCCATCGTACATCCACACCCACGGGATGCACACCTCCAGTTTCGTGACTTGGATCACTCATATACCTGGCAAGGTCGCAAGGTTTCACTATCCGTGACGGGTCTTATTCACAAGCTCGCCCAGAGCTTCAACGCCCTGGAGGCAGTGCGAGCAATGCGCAGCGGTCGCAATTGGCCACGTGTGGAATATCTGGTCGCAGACGCTGTGTCGGAGCTTCGACGAGCCTTGAGGGAGGAGGGACTCGTGGAGGCAGTGCTCCAACAGCTACTAGAGTCATCGGAAGTGGATCTCGAGGCCGTGTGCTCCCGACTTCGGGACCTTATGTGGACCCATCCCGGCTATCGTCATCTAGCACAAGTCGTGACTCTCAGCGACGCGCAGATTTTGAGCATGTGGGCAAAGAATCGAAGGACAGCCGCCTCGCAAGGAACCTGGACGCATGCACTATGCGAGTGTTTGCTCAACGGTGGCAGCGTGCCCGTGGAGTCAGCCGAGATTTGCACATTCTTCAAGTTTCTGCGTGTCTTCCAAGCAGAGGGGTGGGTCATTCATCGAACGGAATGGACCGTGTACGCGGAGGCGGAGGATCTGGCGGGGTCCATCGATGCTGTAGCACAGCGTGGTTCGGACATTTGTCTTCTGGACTGGAAACGCACCAAGCAGCTAGCGTCGAAGGATTGCAGCTTCGGACGCAGACTTCACTTTCCACTGGAGGACACACAGGACTCTGTCATGTGGCACTACCGCATTCAGTTGAACATATACGCATGGATTCTCCGGCAGTACTACGATGTGACTGCGACAGACTTGCGAATTGTGTGCCTGCACCCAGACAACGGCTTTGAGCCCTTGGTCATTCCAGTACCAATTATGTCGGATCGTGTGGACAGACTGATGTCTTGGCGGCGGGATGATCTGCGGTCCTGCATGCTTTTGACTAGTCCGATCCAGCAAGATCTTCGCGGCGGTAGTGAGGCACCAGGCTCCCAAGGACCATCATTCTCACAGATGGTGGAAGAGGAGATGGACACCTATGTGGATCCACCTGCGCCTGCTGAGGCAGACGGCGTGGCCGAACCAAGCCCAAAGCGTCCGAAGACACAGGATGGAGTCGATGCCACAGCTTCGGGCGTGGGAGGGATTGGGCTCGCGCAAAGTGAAGAGCCCGTGGACGGGGATGCTCTGGAAAACACATTCAGTCAGATCATGCGAACAGACTTTGACATCTCCTCCGTTCCTGATCAGTCCTACGGTTCCAGCATTCCCGCTGCTGAAGGATGCATTCTTCAAGAAGTCGGTGAGCTAGAAAGCATGATTACAGCCTATGGCCCTAGTTCCTGCTGGTCGCCCGNNCGTGGTCCAAGGAGCACTGGCCGTACATCGATTGAGGCTCTTGGACGTCAGTCGACGAGAGGAAGTTTTGTTCCTCGAACTCGTGGAAGGGTCTGGAAGACACGTGCGAGCCCACAATGGGCAGTGCTTCTTCTACTCAGAGCATGGACATTGGAACGCCTACAAAGGCGTGATTCCCGAGGGCACGCTGGCACGCTGCAAAAAATTTCTTATTCAGCTGGAGGGCCTCTACGCTATGTTTCAAGGGAATGTCTTACGGGATCACGAAGGGATTTTACAGGCGTCCCAAAGACTACTGGAAAGGCACTCGCTCCGTTCCGACGTCCTTCTCACTGCCTGTGAGAAAGCTGCCATCTGCCGCATGCCGACGAAGTCGAAGGGAAGCAATCCGGGTGAGGCCGACGTCGACCAAGATCCCGGCGATGATAGCATCCATTGGACGTTGGCCATGGCCAACACCATCGGCAAGCTGTACGTCAAATTGTTGCTTGTCTCCAAGATACTTTAGCAGTCCTTTCGTTTCTGGTTCTTTTAGAAGTTTCTCACTCTAAGCTCCTAGGCAGACTTCTCTCCTCAACGACAGCATCATCAAATATTACATCGCGTGGTGTTCCCTCGACATCCAACCGTCCGGTGGTTTTTGCACAATGGACGCATCCTTCACTTTCACCGAACACGGCTTGCAAGCAGTTCGCAAGACAGCACGCAACAACGTGTACGTCTACTTGCCTCATAGAATGCTGGACCCCGTCGCGGAGGATGTGAAGAAAAGAGTCGACCTCTTTTGGAAGACCACCTACTGGGCGAACGCTGAAGCATTCGAGGTCTTCATGGCCTCTTTGGTACTAGCTCTGCGTGGAGAGAACGTCGACCGTGCATTCTGGGGCATAGGCTCCGGTGGCGTTGGGCAAAGCCTACAGACGGCACACCTGGAGGCGATTCTCGGAGAGTATCACACTTGCCTGGACATGAACATCTACTTCGTAGACGAGGCAGTAGAGTGGATAATATTTCTCATTCTTCTACACATGTAAGTCGGTTGTGCAGATTGTTGCAAAACACTAAGCTACATGAGCAGAGTAGATTCTAACTGGACAGGAGATGCGGAAACAGGCGGCCAACATTGTCGGGAAGATAGTCGTCACTGGCCAGGAAAGTGTCCAAGGCAGTCGGCGCCCCATGAGGGAGGATATATACAAAAAACATATATCCGCCGACAAAGTCCCGGAACGTTTACCTTATGCCATCCACACGGCGTTGGTGGAATTGCGTGGGTGGAAGCGATTCGAACTGAATACAACACCAAAGCTGCTCGACAGGTACAGCTAGGACACTGGATTCTAACGTTTGCACATTAGTTTAAACACTGTGTTTTGTGACTTTCTCGCAATCTGCTGTCTGATCCGGTGAGGTTTGGCGGTGTCACCGAGGACACCATCAATTCTATGTTCAGAAGGA